AGCAGGGTTTAGAAACCTGGAAGAGGAAAGATTTAATTTTCCCATTAATTTAGGATTATTTTTTTCCACCTCTAGTTCACAAATACGCAGTGTAAACAGGCCGTGTCAGGAGATCATTTCTATCTCACGTTCCACACGCTTTTGTTCCAATTCCTGTTTGCTGCCTAGGAGAGCTGTTACAATTGTTACAGTAGCATGCCATTGGGCAGTGTCAGCAAGCAGCCTGGGGTTTGAAAACTGAATCTCCTGCTATCAGATTGCTGCTTCTGGCTCTGATGCAGTGTCCTAGTAGAGGAGAAAGGGATGGAGGCTTTTCCAGCTGCTGCTCAGATGTTTTCCAGTTAAATGCCCCCAGACTTCTGAGCCACCTGCTTTTATAGAAGAAAATTTTCTCTATATCTGTGCAGGGAAATTACTTACTCTAGTAACTGCTACCTACTGTGAGTACTGAATAAATGGACTGTATTTTCCTTAAGATGATAGGAAGTGAACGTTACCAAGCTATATGGCAATGACAAAGAGCATCTTAGGTCCCAGTTACAAGCATTATTGGGTTGAGCCTAAATGCATGCATTTTCAAATAAGCTATTTATGTAGCAGTAAATTTTATTTTCTAAACATGTTCTTAATTTTTATTTCTACCTTTTCCCCCCAAAGTATAAGTTAGGCTCCTAATTATGAAAAATGTTGATTTCTTTTACCAGATAAAGGTAATGTTCTGGTTCTGGCTGTGCAGGCTGAAGAAATGACTGCCCTCTCTCCCCTGGTCTGCTGGTTGAATGCCTGTGTGATCTTTCCCAAACCTGTTCTGGTCAAAAGAAGTTGACCTAGGAAAGATCTACTGTACAAACTATTTCAAGCTAACTTATTATTTTTTGGCTGAAATGTGCCCCAAGCAGCTCTGTTAATGAAACTAAGTCAGAGGGGGCATTGAACCACTGAGGATTGCACTCCTAAGATGTAGAAGAGATGTGTATGCTGCCTTTACACACTAATCATTCAGAACAGGAGGACTGTTCTGCATATATGCATCTTATTCATGTAATTACACTGTGTATTCATATTCAGATTGACACCTTTATGTCCCTCATATCTTTCAAGCTCCTGTAACAGAAATAGATGAATCAAGCCTGTTTTGTTGCTTTTTCCTTGCTTTAAAAAGCAATCCCACCTTGAGCCAGAGTGCAGATGGAGCTGACTTGAATGATACAAATTTTCTGCCCTGTTGATAATTGGCTAATGAATTAAACAGAATATATTTTCCATTTGAATCTAATTTCTGTTAGAGCTTGAAAGCAGAACAAAAGACTTTTTGATTATATCTAACTTCATATTATTTAGTTACTAGCAAAATGTTTGTGGTATTTAGTCTGTAAGCACTGTATGGTACCATTTCATTTAAAAAGAACTTGAATCCTGGTTAGACCTGATCTTCTGCATTGACAAATGGTGTGGATGTTGTGCTTTCTAATGAATGTAAAGAAGCTGGCTTTCCTATCTACCCACATCTCTTTCTAGTTTTCAGAACTTGGATCTTCTTTCTTTTAAGACCTATATGTATTCTTCATGTGAACTTTCTGTGCTGATTTAAAAAGCTGTTTATGGCTATCTTAAAATAGAGTGCCCCAACTCCCAGAGAAAGTAAGTGCATATTGTTTGGTGTGGTGGATTATATAAATCTTTCACTAATGGCCAAATAACAGCAAGATCGACCAGATTGCCCTGCATTCCAGCATGTCTATCCATTGAGCAATTTCTATGTTGGGCAAAATAATGTACTTGAGAAATATTCAGGTCTTTAATTCCTTTAAATCAAAACCATGTGCAGGCAGATCAAATGGAAAACAATTCAAGTCTTTAAGTATTAGACACTCTAAATAGAACTTAAGAAAATACATCAATAACTACTTTAATTTGACAAATTCTTTGCTGTTCAGTAAGCATTAAGACAAATGTGTATGTTGATTTCATCTCTTTATCTGGTCAATCCTAATAAATATCTGTGCATACACACACTTCTAATCATTTCAGGATACATGGTTTATCTGTGTACTGTGAACTATTTTTTTTGTATGTCCTGTCTTACTCACTGAGCTTTCCTTTTGCCCTAAGCTCATTTAATAATAGCTATTAAAACTCTAGGCACAATTAATAATATATTTTCTTCCTCCTATATTTTTTTCATGTTCGAGGATTGGATTAGTGCATACTTCTGAGATTAACTGTATCTTAATCAGATAGCCATTGGATACTTGGCTGAAAACATTCATATAATGCTGGAAACTTGAGCTATCCTCTGCAAGCACATAAAACCAGTGGGCCTAAATAAGAAGGAAGCATAAAGCAGAGAAAAGAAGCTGCTACAAGGGTTATGAACTCTTATCTGAACAATAATAACCTTTTGAAGGTAGTAACAAAAACTGAAGGCATGTATTGTCTTTAACAGACGTTAGGCTTTTTTTAATAAAAATAACTAGAGTGGTATCCTGATGCAGGAGATATGACAGTACTATTTGTCCAAAAGGGGGACAGGATCTCCAAATTCTGGACCCCAAAAGTGTGTGGCTGTCCATCCATCTTTACCATACCTACATTGTAAGCTGTATGAACCTGATGTGATCATATGAAACAAATGACTCTTATTCAGAAGCTGAACCAAGTCTCTTTGTCTTACAAATGGGAACTGGGAGAAGGGCAGGGTAAAGATGAAAGAAATTCTTGAGCATGAGTGATACTTCTCTGAACACACTTGTTAGAATCTGCCCTGTTTGGCCTGCCTTGAGCATAACCTGAAGAGTGCTATGAAAGATGGTATGGTTGGCTCTTTGTTGTACACTAGAGATCTAGTTATACATCTAGAGATGGGCTTCATGATATAATTTCCTTTTTTTTTTTTTTTTTTTCCCCATCCTTTAATGGGTAAAAAATACTGTGGTGTGCTTGTATGTCCTGTAAAAGAGAACAAAACATAAGCGGCAGTCCTTTCTTCCATTATGTTATGTAATGTGCTGTCCTGCAATGTGTAAGTTGCTGAACACTTACTGTATATTTACTTCCCACAGTATTATTAACTTGTACAGTGTCTCCAAAAGCTCTTGATACCTATTGAATGATGCAAAGTCTTACTTCCAAAACTTGTCTCCCAGGCACACTTGCATACTTTCATCAAACCTTGAAATACTGAAATGTGTAGCAGTGTGCATATGCATGAGAAGGCGCCTTGCAGGAAGACACAAATTTAAAAAAAAAAAATTAAAAAAATTTACATTCATTTAACATCTCTTAGAATTTGCAACTCTTCTGATTCTGCACAGCAGCAGAATGAAACAGGGTAAAATATGTAGTGGTCACAGGGAGATCAGATAGCACATTCAAATCTGAACAAAATGGGCTCAAAATTCCAGAGCCATCATCCTGCTGGCTGATTAAGTATTGCCTAAGGGAGGAAAAAAAGCTGTTGTGTGCCCGTGTTGCCTTTTGAAAACCAGGGAGTGTTATACTGTGGTCCTGCTTACTGCTTTAAGTCTCTGGGAGAAAACACATTATCTGCAGAGTTGCTGAGACCACATTTATTTAATCCCTTGTCAAGTAGCTGTGCTCAGCTGACATGTTCTCTCCTAGCAAATACTCTGACATATGTCCATCAATGTCCCTGTTTTATAAAAAATATGCTTGCCTATTTCCCAGCTGCTTAATTCTCACTAGTAACTCAAACATTTTCCTTCACTCTTCTACCAGTCAAAACTCCTTTTGAAATTATAATAAAGTCATGTTTTTCTCAGTGCTACTTTTATGTTAGTTCCACCAAGCAAATTCATGGAGCCGGTTTCTTAAGACATTAGACTAATGGCTTAATGGAAATTAAGCAGGAAACCCAGAGCCCCAAGTGAGCTGTTTCTTCATGTTGATTTGCTTGCCTTAATTTTTCAAATTGCCCTGTTAGGCATAGGATGGCTAAAGGCAAAATGTCAAGCTCTAGCCTGGATGCTTTGAACTGCAAGCAGACTAGTGATTCTGAGAAACAAATGGAACAAGGATGACTAATATTCGGGGTGGTCTTAACTTATTAAGCCACTATTAGTGTAGCTGTAAATACCATGCGCCCTTTGTAGTCCTCCTCGCCAGTGCCTGCAGCGACAGACCTATCTGGAACTGAGAGGCTCTGACCTGTGAAATACTGTTAGAAATTTTGGTATCTAAATGACTGTTAAGAAAGCACATGATAATGGACAGCAGAGCTTCAAAGGATAAGCTCTATAGTGTGTATGAAATAGAATTAAACTTCAAATGCAGCCAGTTAATACATATGCTCCTAGTTGGGTGGAGGAGGAGAAACAACACTCAAAAATGTTCCCTTGTTTCTCAATCTGTGAAGTGACTCCTCTTCAGGGTAAGTAGACAGAAATACGTTTTAGGAAAGGCTGAGTCTTCGACCCAGAATGTTGTCAGGCTTCAACAGCTAATTAAGTTGTATCTGGCAATGACAGGATCCCAAAGGGGGGTGGGATCAAAGCCCCAGAATTAAAATGGCTTCTAGAACATCTTGTATTGAGAAAATGGAGAGATTCTCTTACAAAGCAGTAGTGCGTCCTCCATGGAGTTGCCTGGAAGTACTGTAAGAAAATTTCCATTACTGGTAACTTGGCATTTTTCATGCTTGGATTCTTGTGGGGTTTGAAAATGGAAAATAACTGTTAGGACTCAGGTATAGTTAGGGAAATGTGTAGTCCTAGGCATCTTTGAGCAACTGAGCTTATTTAAGGCTGTATACAATTTGTCTAACTGGGAAGGAAGATGGCAATACAAACTGTACTTTTCATGTTAAATTTGTCAAGAAATAATTAAAAAAACCCAAACTGTTTTTCTAGGTGACTTTCTATGATTGTTGTATCTAATACTATCTTAAGCTTTCCATCTGTAAAGTTGTGACATGGTTGTTTGCAAGGGCATGCAAATAGTCAAATGAATCCATTCCCTTCCTGTTGTTCCTTTCATACTTGCCCAACTGATTTTCTGAGGGGATTATATTTAGAATATTTCTCTGGGCACTTAAGTAACTCACTTTCTCCTTTTCTGCTGTTTTTCCAGGATGCCAAGTGTACGACTTTGGAGATTTGAATTTCACTCAAGTTCCCAATGATGAACTGTACAACAACCTGATTTTATATCCACGGTCAGTGGGCTTAGCCAGCCAGGTGTTGGCTGATGCTGTAAGCAGAGCAGTAGCTGCTGGACACAGCTGTGTGACTATAGGAGGTGATCACAGGTGAGCTCAAGTAGAAACAATTAGTGGTGCATGCTGCAGGTTGACACTTGGGAGTATAAGAATTTAATTAAAAAATAAGGAGATGATGGGAACAACTTGGGGTCACTTCCTGGCAATACCATAGGGTAGCAGCATTTGGATTTTATTGCTGGGGCTTTTAGGGTGGAACATAAGACAGCTACAAAAATCTGACCACCTGAAATTAGTTCCAGACTGTTCTGTGATCTGCAGATGTACAAATGAGGTTTTCCTGTTTGGGAAAGTTTGTGTGATCAGGTCCCTTTAGGAACTGTTGCAGTTTCTCTATTCCTGAATGTTTAGTGACTTGTCTCTTTTGCCCCTCAACTCTCAGGATGTCAGCTTGTAGGATGTGTTTGTAATGCCTGTGCACAGACCACTTTGTAATAGGTCTTATAACATGTTAATATTTTTCTCCTCTTTTTCACTAACCTTTGGTCTGAGAATTGGTTGAAGAAGGCAGGGCATGTAAGAATGAGTTGTGGGGGAAGATGTCATGACTGGAACCAAAAATGGGTGAATAGCAGAATTGATGAGTGAGCACACTAGATTTTCTAAGATCATTTGGAGCTAGAACAGGTGAAGATTAGAGTGTGGGAAGCGTGATGGTGGAGAGAGAGAAGAGCTCCTTCTCATCTGTCAGTACTAGTATAGTCCTGTAGAGTTAGTTGGAGTCTCCTGGAATTATGATAGTGGCATGCTACAGTTTGTACGGGATGCACCCTTTATTGTCACAGATATCTGATGTGTTGAAACATGACAATGTTGCTGACTGAAATTGCAGAGACTTGCCATTGTCATTTTAGTTGTTCTGAAGGAGAAACGGTGACTAATGACTTTGCTACTGTACTTCCAGCTTGGCACTTGGTTCTGTCAGTGGCCATGCACGACAGTGCCCACACCTCGGTGTGATCTGGGTGGATGCGCATGCTGATATCAACACCCCTCTTACAACTCAGTCTGGAAACCTCCATGGACAACCTCTCTCTTTTCTCTTAAGAGAGCTTCAAGATAAAGTAAGTATCTTGCTTGTACAGTGAGCCTGCATTGAAATCCTCAGGGCATTTTACTTTTTCTGGTGTGAGGTGCTTTCTTATCTGCTGCAAATGCGGACCTTTTTTGTCTGAGTATGAGCAAAAATATGGGGGGGGGTTGTGTGTGTATAGAATCATAGAATGGTTTGGATTGGAAGGGACCTTAAAGATCATCTAGTTCCAACCCCCCTGCTGCGGGCAGGGACACCCTCCACTAGACCACGTTGCCCAAAGCCTCATACAACCTGGTCTTAAATGCTTCCAGGGATGGGGCCTCCACAGCCTCTCTGGGCAACCTGTTCCAGTGCCTGATCACCCTCACAGTAAAGAATTTCTTTCTAACATCTATAGAAATATGTATACATGCACATATACACACAGACATATGCAAATATAGGTATACATACACACAGACTTAAAAACAAGAATAAGAAAAAGCTTTTTGTTGTGTTGGCACCCTTGTGGGTTGTACAGCAAGCAAGAGTTCACACAAGCTGCATGTAGCAACTGACCATAGTGCCATTCCTGGGTGATGAGTGGAGTGTGTGCTGAGGCTGTGCAATGGTGGCAATTCTACCAACAGAGCAAAAGGTGGAACCTCTCCTCAGCTGAGCCTGTGAGAGCGGAGCTCACCCCCAGTAACAGCTGGTTCTTGCACACCTTGCATGCTGCTTCTGCTTAGCTTGGCTCTTCCATGTGTTGACAACCTTTGGGCCTGACAGGGGCTGTTCCTGCATGATCTCTTCTAACTGGCTGCTCTGGTGTCAGCTCCAATATTGCAAGTCAGAACAGCTGTACCTTCTTACGGGGTGCTTTTAAAGAGAGTCTTTGTCTTACAAAATGGGCAAATTATCAAAAAGAGCCCTTTACCGGGGCACACAAAATGTGCATCACCAGTTTTTGCTACTGTCAAGTTGCTAAGCAGTAGGTTGACCTAAGGCCTACATATCCTTTTTGGCTTAGCTGCAGACTGTACCTCTGTATACAGGTACCTGTAGTATCTACCAGAGACACTACGGTGGCCTGTGTGGTGTTAGCAACTGCCTTTGCATCAGGAACTTAGATATGGCAACCTGCTTCTGCTGAAGCTTAGGCTGGAGAGTGGGAGCAGGATCAGCAACTACACATTGAGAATCGATGCTGGGGCTGCAGAAAACCTGATTCTTAATTTTATTCTGGCACTTTACACTGCTAGTTATTTCTCTTAGATTTTTTTTTTTTCTCTCTGATAAATTTTGTATGCAATGCATAGATGGAAGTATGTCTCTTCCAAGTAAGATCAAGCATGTTTAACATCTTTATGGCTATTGAAGATACCCTTGTGTTAGTACCTGTTTGGCATAGCAAGACTGCTGTCATCTGGTAAAGCTTGTCTGCTCTTCTCCTGCAAATTCTTTTGAATGAATTCCATCCACAAGTCATTTGGTGCTTTTTCATACTTTCCTCTTTCCTAATAATACTTGTGTGATCTCTACAAACATGCTAGAATTCCCAAAGTAATGCAAAATTAGTAGGGTTTCTTGAAATATCCCCAGACATGAGAAGGTTCATACAAAAGGTTACCATATTTTTTGTTTCTTGCCTCTAAGTTAGAGGGTGATTTTTATTTTTTTTTTTCTTTTTGGCAATGCACCCACTTCTGCAGGAGAAATAGGAAGACCAAAGGAAAATTTTGTGAATTTTGGAGCTCATCTAAGGTGAACGCTTTATATTTGGTGAGAACAAAGCCAAGTTCTTTGATAGCTGAGGAAAGAGGAGAAAGGCTGCTTTCCTCTTCTGTCAATCAGACAAAAGTATTTAATCTATTTCCTGGATATACATTGTTGCTTTCTGGTCTGCTTGGCTCCTGTTCATGAGCAGCAGAGAAAAGCAGTATTTTTTTTTTATTTTTTTTTCAGAGCTACTAAAAGAATACTGTGAGCTTTCTGGGGTCAGTGGGGGAGCAGGCCTCTTGTAAGCAGCAGTAGTCAAGAAAAAGTAAGATTAGGCTAAACTTAGTCAGGTATGGTGCTGCTAATAAGATCTCATTACAAGCCCACTGAAATTCTAGTTGTCAGGGAGCCTATGCAGAAATACCTGACACAAGTGCCTCACCTGTATTTGTAGCTACAAACAAACAGGTGTGTGCTCATTTAGAGGCTTTTCTTACCATAGTATACTCCTGTTTGTTTTCCTGCCTCTAAACAGCTGTCCTGGTACAAGATGACTTCTACAACAGTATAGATTTTAAAATAGCTGTTTAGCAGTAGTAGAACATGCATTTGACAATGCTTGTGTGGCTACATATCAGCCTCACTGGAGGGAACCTTCATGCACTAACAAACAGGTGCACATGGCTTGCTCTCTTGCTCACATCCAGTAGAGCAGTTGGGTTGATAACAGGACAAAAAAAAAAAAATCCCTGTCCATCTTTCCTGAGTGCTTTGCAAGGATTCTTTTTGAATCCTAAAACTGCCTGCCACCAGCAAGAAGGCTACTCTAGACCTACACTCTGCTAAGCATAAGCTCTTTCTCAAAATGACAAACTAACCAGTTGCTTCTCAAAGAGGTTTTTTTACCTTGTCAAAGGGTATGTAGCATAGCAGTGTGAGAGGACAAGAGAGATTGTGCGGTGAGCCTTGTATCTCCTTCCTTGCTTTCACTCATGCTGTGAAGGGGTTTCTGAGCAACCCCTCTGCCCCATGACACATTTGTGTGTATGCTTCTGTAGGAGGACCCCAATACTTCCACCAAACTGTCTCTGAGTCACAAGATCTGGTCATCAACCTAATAGTCTCAGGAAGGCTAGTTAGCACTTGACTCCCTGTATAGCTTGTCTTGTAGAACCACAGAGAAACAACTTCGAGGATATAAAAAGAGAGCAAAATAGCCTACATGATTACATTTTTATCTTGCTGATTCACTGCCCATCTCTACTAACTGGTACTGCTCTTCCAGCACCTTCAGGCTTCTTGTTCTTCATTCCTGGTTAAGACACTATGAGACAGAGGTAGAGGTGTAACATGCTCTCTCTCTTGGAGGCACAATCGGTTTACTGTTCTTGACCTCGTGCCACCAACTCAGTTTAGCTGCTGTAACCTTCTGTGGCATTGCATGAGACCTGAGTCAGGAGCATGGTCTCTTTGCTTGGTTAGTTTTTGAAACATCAAGTCCTAGCACAACATAATGAGGGTGGAACTGATGTGGCAGCAACTGCTTAAATTAGCACAACTGCCAAGAACTCCCCAGGCCTGTTTCAAGTATCTCCCCTGTCTTCAGAATGCCTTAGCCAGCACTAATGAGCTTGGTCAATGCTCTACTCAATTAAACGTCCCCATGTAGCAGACAACATGAAGTATAAAAGTGATGCATCTAGCTATGAAATAAAGCATTTGGCCAGGTTGCCGTAGAACAAAACCCTGGTGTTGCTTGCACAGTTCATTCACAGGCCGTCACGTTGGGCCAGGTAGCTTCACAGGAGCAGTGCCTGGTACTCCTCAAAGCAAGGTGGCACTTTAGGGTTTTTTTAAAAACTTTTAAAATTATAATCCTTTGACTGGCATTCCTCAGACCATTAGTGTCAGGGCTCCTGAAACCATTCAAACGCAACTCATAACCTGCTGTTAATAACTTCCCATGAAAATGCTTGCACCTTTTTCTGATGCCTGTGTGACTTTACTATCAGCAGCTCTTTTCTAGTGCAAGAAGGTAAAAACAGAGCCTACCAAAGGAAGTTAAGGCATGCCATTTTCTTTATTTAAAGACGAAAAGGTATAGTTAAAAAGGGTAGTATTAAATCTACTAAATCAATGATACTAGAGAGTATCTGACAATATTGTCAACATTATCAACACTCCAATTCATTTACCCCTCTTCTGAATTCATGACTGCAGAAAAGTTTCAGGTCATTGCCCCAGAGTAACAAATACTTTTATCATATGTGCTTATTTAATCCCAAGGTAATTAAATTAGCCATGGGTGTGTGAGCCTTTAGAAACAAATCCAAATGTTGTAACTAGAATATAATTAGTAATTGAGAGGTATAAGAGGGAAGCAAAGCCTTCTTGCTGCTTGACAGCTGTGTTGGCTGTAGCCATTTTCAGAGCTGGGAGAGGAAGAAGAGACATTTTAGTTAATTTAAAGCACTCCTAAAATTAGTAGATATTACTAACTGAAGGATTTTTATAATTGCTTATCTTCAATTTGCTGTCCTAGAGCTGCTCTCTTCAGTTCTACATTAAAAACCAGTATGATGTATCCCAGTGTGGAATGGAGGCCCAACTTCTTGTCATACCTTTTTTTTTTTTTAACTTCCCTCTTGGAATTTGTGCATCTTTAATGTTCTTTTTGCAACAAAGTTTACATGACTTTTTAGTGATTCTCCTAGAAAGGCACAGGTGCCTTGGTTTTTGTTCTCCCACTTAAGTATGATGTACTGGGTAAGTTGCATAGCATTACCATTAAATACACTGTGTAAGTGATCTCCATCCAGGTATCTAGTTTATCATTCCCCCTTACATGCACTGATGCTAATTACCTATTGCTTGTGGGCTCGGGCTTTTTATTTCTTCCCTTCAAACTGGAAAATGTAGAGGAGCTAAAAACTTCATCCGCTAGCATTCAACTCAGATAAAATGGTATGACAAAGGTAAGGACTGATTAATTCAGGAAGCCAAACTCTCAAGTTTCTCTGTTTAGACAGAGAAAGGATGCTATAAATAAAGTATTGAGGGAAGCATTAAATACAGGTTTCCCATATATGTCATTAACTAACATAATACCAAACCTTTGCTTGCAGGTACCACAACTTCCTGGCTTTTCCTGGCTAAAGCCCTGCCTTTCAGCATCTGATATTGTATACATTGGTT